TTGTTTCAAAAATACTTGCGTTCTTAAAATATGTTGCCCTATGCTATCTAAAATATATACGGGGGTACTAATATTAATATGATATAAGAATGTGTGCTGATTTTCTAAGATATATGCTTTACCTAGCTGAAGTGGAAGGATCGGGTTTGTTAATCTTGTGATTTTGACTGAATAATTGGGAAAGGGGAATGTCATCGTCAGAGCTATCATCAGGAGTAGGTGTAGCAGCCTTGTTCCTGTCATGTCTACCTGTAACAATGATTTTTCGTTGTGGTTTGAGCTGTCTTTGATGCGTAACTTTATTTTTTGAAATAACTTTATTGTCACCAGTAACTGTAGGGTCGGTCAGTTTTTTGTAAAGTGGTTGGTCTTTCTTTGTTTTGGAATTATTTAATGAAAAAAGTGGTTGCTTTACATCAAGCGAAAGAGAACGATTTCGAAGTCTATTTTCTCTTTCTAAATTTTGTCTTTGTTTACGTTCTAACTTTTCTGTTAGTTGTTGAGACAAAAGTTTAAGGATTTGGGAATGTTCTGTCATATATGTGGAAATCTGTTCGTTCGTCGTTGTCTCGAAGGGATTTCTAAAATCTAGCTGTCCTTTAGCAATTTGAAAAGGGGTAAAGTCAGTTGAAGAATGAATGCTATTGTTGTATGATAAAATTGCATAATGCATGAGATCTCTAATATTTTGGTGAGGTTTTTCTTCTCTTAAGGTTCTTATTGTTTCTATAATAGTGGAATGAAATCTCTCCACTGGACTATTACTATTGGGATTATATGCTGTTGTATAATGAAGAGAGATGTCGTACATACTACAAAGATCTTGGAAAATATTATTTTTCCATTCGGTACCATTATCGCATGTGATTTTATGAGGAATGCCAAAAAATGAAAAGAATTGGATCATAGTACTAGTTGTCTCGATTGCATTTAATGAACTAACTGGGAATGCCTGTGAAAACTTTGAAAAACTATCTGTAACTGTTACAAAATATTGATTTGAAATTTTAAAAGAATCTATATATAAATGTTCAAATGGTTTAGATCCTATGGGAGTTGGTTTAAAGATTAACCTATTGGGATGCGTTTCGTATTTCGATTTCTGACATATATCGCAGGAATTTACGTAATTTCTAACGTCTACATCTAAATTAGGCCAATAAAAATTCTTCTTAATCGCTAAAATATTTTCGTTTATACCTCTATGGCTAGTTTTGGTTTCATGATATAATTTAATTTTATTATTTTGTTCATCAATATCGACTACGTCTTCTAGCATTTTCCTACTTATAACCATTGTAAATGCTTTATTTTGAAAATACTTTTGTAAAAAATTAATGAATGGTTTTTCTAAATCTAAATTCTTAAAATATACGCAGAAGTGTTGATTAGGTCTGATATACTCTTTAATTAGCTTAGCGAAACTTTCTTCTAGTTCATTTATTTTGCTTACATCTAATAAATCTTTCCTAACTAAAAATGTATGCCTTTTCTTTTTGAAAATTTTCTCAAAGTGGCATTGAAATAATTTACAGGGTGATATGCCTAAAATAACTTGGTTTTGGTGGATGTTTAATACTTTGTCTGTATATGGGATTTCTATTATCGGATTTTCGAAAGAACTATGAACTGTCTCACTGTCTGAGCGGACTTTTTCTGAGGGACGGATAAGAATGTTTTGGAGAACTTTAATTTTTGGTTTAGGATTGGATGATGATTGATGATGAGGATTGGTATTACTATCGTCATCTGGAGATTGGTGATTATCGAAAGTCTCTAAAATGTCTCCAAAGTCATTTGGTAAGGTCGGTAGGGTCTCTGGGTGACTTGGGAAAACGTCGCTAAGAATGTCGTCAATGTTAAAAGGTTCTGAGCTGTCAAAGTTTCCTAAAGTTGAAAGATTGTCTGTCACTAGGTCAAGGGGGTGAATTTCTATTTTTTGGATGTCAAAAGCAGTCCGAAATTGAAATGGGATTTGAAGAGTAGGGTTTCTGAGTAATTGATTTTCGAGATCTACTGTTAATCCTAATTTTCTCAAATCTCGGATTCCAATGATTCCGTCGAAGTATTCATGAAATGGAAAAAGAATAAATTCGAATTCATCGGGAATACCTAATTCTTCAAGTACTGGGATAGAGGCTTTAAACTGACTGGTCTTTGTGCCTGCGCAAGTGGAAATGGGCGTATTGTAATGGAAAATTTGATCTGGGAAAAACTTTTCGGCGATGTAAGGTCTAAGGAGGGAACCGTGGCAACCTGTATCTATGAGTAATTTTACTGGGATTTTTCGGAGTTGGATATATGGGAGAGAGTTGGCTAGATTGATATTGTTCAGGTCTATCTTAAATCTGTCGAAGGATCCTTTTCGAAAATGTTGATTTTGAGAGTTATTTGAATAATAATTGTGATTCTCAGAATATAATTCTTGATTATTGTAAGGTTCATCTTGGTCATCTTGGTCATACTGAGGAAAATTTTGGGAAGGATATTGAGAAGGATATTGATAAGTATGTTGCGAAGAATGAGAGTGTACTTCAGGCTCTTCAGCATGATATACTTCTTGTGAAATGAAGTTTCGGGGTCCGGAAGGTTTAAACTGATTATGGTTTTGTCTGTTTGATTGTCTTGAAGACGTGTCCATAGGTTCTGGATTATGTGCTGGTTTATATGAGTTTTTGGGGCGAAGAACATTTGTTGAGCGTTGGGACTGAGGTGGTCCGAATACCTGTCTGTTTGTCGGGAAGTTTTGTTTAATTGGAAGGGGTTTTGGTAATGGAATAGGTTGAGATGGAAATTGTCTACTTTCATTGAAGGAAGGTTGATGTGTCTGAGTAAAATGATTTTGTGGTGAATATTGAGCGTGAAACTCCTGAGAAGGAAATTGTTCATGTATGGCTGGTGGTTGTTGATAATTAATATGTGTGGTATTAGGTTGAGTGTATGAAGGGTTGTATCTTTGAGATGGGTAATAATTTTGGCGTGATGAGTTATTATAATTGTAACGTCTAGGTTTATGTGAATGTGATTGAAAGTGGCTAGGATGTCCGAAATTCTGTCTTTTTGTCAGTGCATCTATTCTCATCTCATTGTAGAAATGTTTAGTAACAACGTTGGTCGCATCTGATAAGTCGGAGGGCTGTTGAATGTCTAACAAAAGTCTAAGTCTATCGTCACAATTTGCGGTCAATACGTCTAGTGCATTTAGTTCATTTTGGTTGATAAGTAAAACTTTCTGATCAGGGGTGAGTGAAGGATCTGTCTGGATTTTAACTTCAACTCTTGATTTAATTAATTTTAATCTTAATAAAAATTCCAAAATGGTTTCATTTCTATATTTTGAAAATTGCAGAAATTCTCTCGTAAGGGTTTGTCTGTCAATTTTGTCACCGAAATGCTCTCTGAGTGCATTTTTAATTAGAGGCCAAGAAATGAGATCTGGTCTACACATTAAAAAGTTGTAAACGTTACTTTTTAGTTTTGAACAAATTGCATTAAAGACGAAATCGTTCAAACTGGCATCGTTTGATCTACCATAATTATTATAAAATTTTTCGCATCTAAAGATGAATGATTCCAATTGTTGGGTATCACCATCGAAATATGGCAGAAAATCTGCAATAGCTTTTGCGGCGTGTATGCTTGGAACGGTGATTGTACTGTTATTAAGAGACATGTTTTCTAATAAGTTTGTAATGGTATCTAGAGCCGAATTAGAATCTTGCATAAAGTTATGGTCTATAAAAAATGTAAAATGTGTAAAAATTAAAAATGTAAAAGTATGAAAATGTGAAAATACCAAGTGAATACGAATGTAATAAAATTTAATGAGATTCTGGCTAAGTCTTATTTTAACGTGAAAATTTCCTTATATTAATAATTTTGCAACCGGCAAAAATTTAAAAAAATAGTAACTAATCTAAATCGAAAATGTAGCTCTCGACAAATTTACTAAAATTAAGTTCTCTTCAAAAATGTAGCTCTTGAACGAGAACTAACTTAATACTAATGTTTTGAGCAATCTTCAGCAAAATCTAAATTTTACAAAACTGCACCAAAAATCTTAAATTAAAAAAAGAAGGTGAGAGGAGAGACAAGGAAAATTCGACTTGAATTACCTTCAGACTTTGAAGACACAGCACTCTGACGTCGATCTTCGTCCTTGGGCTTCTCCTGATCTTCCTGGTCTCGTCGGTTCCAGAAGTTAGTGATTGAAATCAGCCTGGAAGTCCTCTGCTGAGTTCTGATCCAGTCTTCTGATCCAACTGCTAGCTGCGCCAATGATGGTATCGCGTCGCGGAATCGCGTTTTTTAAAAACGACTTACAAGCGATTTGATACTTTATTCTACTATAAATATAATGTTTAGACTAACAACGATATGTTAGCAAACCTAACCTAAGTGAGTTCAATGCAAGAGTAATAGGATTAAACTGATGCCTGAAGGGCACAACCATCAATATATAACATAGGGTTGTTTACTAAGATAAGATATAATTATAGCTATTAGGAAGATATACGAGGGGCTCTCGCTATATAACTATAGTATTAACCACGATACACGTGCACTGCAGTAACGTTACGACAATCCTGCCGCTGGTAACCACAACCGGACAACTCTCAAGGTGACGTTACGAAGCTCCGCCCACATGCGCAACATCCTATCTCAGTGTATGTGTATCGTGAATTGCTACAGTCAAGATTACTTATTTCTCAATTATTATGCTAAAGGATCTAAAAATCTAAAATTCAGTTGACACAATGGAAATGATAGGATACAATTTCAAATCACCAAAGTGTTTGTTTTCATTATTTAGGTCAGCAATGGTGCTTTCTTGGGCTAGTAATGGAAAAAATCTATACATTTCTTGGCGGAGAAGGCTATTACTGTCTTCGAACATTATATCTCACATCGCTATGCGCCTCACTATATATTATAGATGTACTCCGCCGATAATGGCATACTTTCCACAAAGATAATTAAATGTACTATTTTCTTTCCAGGCTGAGGACATAAAAGAGCAAGCGGACGCAATTAAACCTGGCATGGTTAAAACCTATTCGACACCTATGGATGTGGCAGAAAACTCTCAGATTATTGTTTGCTGCGTCACAGATCCTAGACAAGCCAAAGAGGTAAGGAGTTTACTGTTGATAGGATATTAAAAAATACAGGGTGGGCCATTGAGTTGAGCGTATTTTAAAAAAACAGAAAAAACTACAAAGTGTAGGTAAGATTATTTATATTTTTAATAAAGTAAGCACATGGGAATTTTATTTTTTTAAAATAACATCATTGAGATGTGAGTCATCGAGACGTATCACTCCTCGAATCTCGACTTCAAATTCGGCACATAGCTCGTGGGATGGCGGACATCTCCTCGGAAATGTTGTGTTTCAGCTGAGCAATCCTCGTCGGTTTATTGGCGTTAACGCGGTTGTTGAGGTATCCCCAGTGCCGTGAGATCTGGGTTCCGGGGAGGCAACGGAATGTCCCCTCGTCGTGATATCAGTTTTCCACTAAACATTTCGTTTACAACTGCTAAAGACTCGTTGGCGGTATGGGATGTCGTGCCATCTTATTGAAACCAGGTCCTGCTATGATAGGCTTCAAAATTATGTAGTTGTTGAAAGGAAAAGTTTCGTAGCATTGCTGTGTCGCGATTAGAATTTACTGTTACAGTCTGGCGTTGCTCGTTTTCGAAGAAATAGGGTCCGATAATTCCTTCAGCCGACACGGCCGCCCAAACTGTAACATACGCTAATTCAAGGGTCGTTGGTGTTTCAATTTGGGATTTTCTGCCGCCCAATACCGGTAATTTTGCTTGTTGTTACAAATCCACTCAAATGAAAATGGGCTTAATCCGAAAAGAGAATATTGTTCCAACTTGGAAATCGCTCTAACATTGATTGGGCAAACGCACAGCGTAGTTGGTGGTCCTGCGGTTTCAATTCCGGTACTAGTTGTAGTTTATATGGGTGTAATTTAATGTCTTTTACCAAAATTCGCCTTACAGATGTTCTTGATATGGCGAGCTCAGCTGATCTCTTTCGGGATGATCACTGTGGATCGCGCCGTACGGACGTCATAACTGCGCTTATAGTTTCCTCTGTTCGTATTGACCTTGGCCGCTCCGCAGGTTTCTGATTGAGTGTCGAACCGGTAGACTTGAACTTTCTAACCCACGATCTGATCACACTTTCACTGGGACATTGATTTAGATCGTGTAAACTAAACTCAGAGCGAAACACACGCCGCGCAGTAGTGCACGAATCTCCATTTTTGGAATAAGCCTTAACTCAAAACACATGCTCACCGTTAAAATGATCCATGGCTACTAAATACACCAAGCTACTTATCGCCACTACCCGTACCCCGCTCCCGCGTGCCTATCGTGAGGAATGCGGTTTTGAAATTCGTATGTGGCCCAAATTCGACTAATAAAAAGGCATTTTTGAAGTAGTAGATTTAATGAATATTTTAAGATTTATCAAATGCTAGCTGTTACCCGCGACTCCGCAACTCCAAGCAATTTCAAACAAACTTGCAAGTGCTCTTTAATCCCTTAATTCGGCACTGCCCCAAAATCCATTTGTAGCTGAAATGCCAAGTCCAAAAGCTACCTCGAAGCGAAACTTCATATTTGTAGGTCAAATAGTGTCCGAAATTTCGTGATAAGTTTATATCTTTTCGCTTTTACATCTAATCTAATCTAGCCCTGTAGGCACAGTGCGTTTTTAGCTGACATTCATTACCATGAACTAGCTCTCCACCAATTGTCACGTTCATAGGTTAAGTAGTTTCCGATATTTCGTGATTAATGCGTATCTTTTCGCTTTTATAGGGTGACTTCGAAGTTGAGTCATTTATTTTAACAGTGAGTAGATCTGATCAAAAGAAATGTTTTTTTCCTTTACCATTTTTCTGGTAAAATTAAAGTAACAAAGTTATAGCCCTTTGGAAGTTTGAGTACCGCCCTGTCTCAATAATAATATCATGTGCTCGTGTTTGGCAACAACGGATATAATCCGCCTTATCGGTTCATCGCATCGGAAACAAAAAAGCGAAAGAATTTGGAACGATGTTCTTACAATTATTTTATTCAGTTCAGTTATACATACAGTCAGTATGTAACGCGTGTGAATAGTGTCTGATGCGTGGCTCAAACGAAATAAAAAATGGCACATGTTTATGCGGATCGGTTTCCCAATCGAGTGCAACCAACCCCTCGTGCCTTTGTTAGTGTAGTACAACGGGCTCGTGAATCAGGTGACTTAAGACCTCACAGGGGACCTCACGATCAAATACAGGTCGGAACTGAAATACTTGTCGGGAGGATACTTTATAAAACAAGGTAAACATTTTTTTTTAATTTTTACACACATATTTTGGTTTATCTTCCTTCTACAATCATTGTCTGAAAATTAATGACTCAACTTCAAAGTCACCCTGTATATTTGCTCTTAGCTTCCTTGCGGGCTTGTTGTGGAATCAGTTCTTAACTGATATACGAACTACCTTCCTGCTAAATTTCATGTTCATCGGTCAAATAGTTTTCGAGATTTCGGATTTAATGTGTATCACTTCATTTTATATGTATCTGTCCTTAGCTCCCTTCTTTTTGGCCCACTTTTAAAATATGTTGTTAGCTGTTATGTTTTATGATTTTTATGAATATGCAAACAACGACTTTTTTAAAAAGCGACTTTATTTAACAGAAGACGATTGAGTATTGGTCACATTCTTTTGCAAGTACTTCCTATTTATAACCTAGGCTAGAACAAGGAATTGAAAAGTGCAAACCCAACCATCTCTACATATGAGATCATCATCATAGCAGTTCCGTAGTTGGCTAGAACAAAGGAATTGAAAAGTGCAAACCTAAGCATCTCTATTCACGAGATCATCATCATAGCAGTGCCGTAGTTGGCTAGAACAAGGGAATTGAAAAGTGAAAACTTAAGCATCTCTACATATGAGATCATAAACATGTCAGTGCCGTAATTCCTCTATCTTTAAGATTCTGCTAATTCAAATGAAAAACTTCATTAAGTTCAATGTCATTTTTGGCTGATTGGTTTTTGGGTTCCTTAGCCTTCAAAAGAGAGAGCAATTACTTTTTTAAACAAGTTTTTTTAATTTACCAAGCAATAAAACATTATTCAATTGGATATCTGAATAAATAACCCTTTACATCAGTATTTTTGAACAACAATTTTTTGGACAATTGGAAAGGCGATTCAATAATTTTTACCGAAAACCTCAATATTCCAAGCCCTACGGTTACTGCGGTATGATCTTTTTCGTATTTATGCTGAAATGCCTCAAAACGCCGATAAATATCATTATACTCTTTTTGGTTTGTCGAAATAATAACCAAAAATAAATATGGATACCTGGATTTCCTACATTTTAGATCTACCACAGTGGCTATTAGGGTATGAATGGCCAAGGTTTATACCATTTGTAGTATTTTGATCAGAAAGATCGGTAGTCTCACATAAAAACGATTTAAAACTATTATAAGTCGCTACCAGTGCTATAAACCTTAGACCATAGACCTGGAAAGTAGTTGATCAATTTGCATTCTGAAGACTACCTATTTATTGCTTTACTATCACGACTTCCATTATTCTCATCAAGGGGAGAAAGTCGTTTGAAGATAGCTTGTGACTAATTCAATTTCAATAAAAAGAGAAAAACGTAAAAAACATTTCAATCATTTTAGGCAGAAGCGGTGGCCGCAGTGGTAGACTCTTCGGTCTCCTGATCAGTCGCCGTGCGCTGTGCGGGTTCGAGTCCCGTCTCAGGAGAAATTTTTCTCTTGGCTATGGATGTTGTGATTGTCCGTAGGTGGTAGATGGTCTCTGACTGTCGAACGCACAGGTATCACACGGCGGATCTCGTAGGCGGGGCTAGAATGTGTGCATGTTGCATGCACACCTGTTCCCTCGCCAGAGCCCGTGTGGCGTTCCCCCTTTCCCCTGTACCTCCCTATAGCCCCACGGTACCCAATGAGTGTTTAGGCCCTATGCCTTCGTGGTAGTTGGAGTACAAAAACATATTTTTCATCGTACATCACTTCATCTGGCTTCTAATAATGTAATCAGCCTGACAACAGCGCTATAAGCTATAAGATATATAAGCGCGATAAGATGATAAATTTTAATTTTCGACAATCTACATCAGCGGTTTTCAAAGTGGGGGGCGCATAGAGCTGTAAAGGGGGGGGCGGAAAACCTGCGACTGAAGAGAGAATGCATTCCAGACAAGGGCGGATCCAGCATTTCGTCTAGTGGAGGGGGGGGAGGTGGTGCGCAAACGATCTTTGGTGCTGGTAATTTTTCTACCTCAGTGGAACTTTTAGAATTTATCCTATTATTGCTCCTTAAATCCATTGTGTTCTATCTGTTCAACGCCAACTTGAAAAAAAAAGAAAAGTGCTCAGAAATCCTCAGAAAGGCAATATTTTATTATATGAGAACAAAAGAATTACGTGGCATTTATAATTAACTAGTGTAATGATATTAAAGATTAAAACTTAAAAAACTTCATTGCTCTGTTAACCAAAAAACATTTTGAGGGACTCCGAGATATATCCCAGCCATTCCACAGAAAACAATGTGTTTGATGGCGGAAACGAAGATGAGACCGAAAAATTCACATTATCGTATGGACGCTAGACGAGACAAAGAAGGATGTCTATAGACCATCTATAGGTCGTGTCTTGAGACCGTCTCCAGACTGCCTATAGACAAATTGCGCAACGGGGTCTACAAGTGTGTACTATGCCTGAGGATTAATACTCTGAACTACCCGTTAAACAAATAAGTAATTGGTGTAAATACTGACACAATCAAGCACTTCTATTATATCAGCAGGTGATAAAAATATCAATAGATACAGTCAATTATTTTTTGAAATTCAATATAGATGTTACAGTTATTCTTCAGACTTTCGTTGTTGAACTTAAAATTTACGGCATAGTTGTTGCTTTCTCAGTTTTCGAATCGGTGTTGATCGCATGTAAAAATGTTGGAAATCTTTGGTAAAAACTATATATGTTAGATCGTAGTTATTTTGATAACGTATGTTTGTACGAAACAAGAACAGGAATACAGGGCTCTACATATTCACGTGTAGTGCAGAAGCTCTGTGACTTAAACGATTTCCAATATAGCAACATGAGTAGAAACATACGCGGGAAGACATGCGGGACGTGTGGTATTGACTTTGAGCATCGATCGACGCATTTTCTGTATAGGCTACAGGCGCACCGCTAAGCAAATCTCATAAATGTATGTTTCCAATGTAGGCGTTCATCTAACATGTCTAATCATATTAGCAAATTTCCCCGAAATAATTGCTAATTAAGTCCGGTTTTATTGGTACAACTTGTTCAAGGGCGTATTTTAAACATGCACGCATAAAATGGTTACACCAATTTTTGTGGGACAACTTTTTTTGACAAAAAATGGGATTCAATCTAAAGTGTTGACAGGAACAACGAAAAAACTTTTTATGTAAGATTTTTAGGTGAGACCTACAGAATGAGACCAGACGTGAAAATATCCGACTAATAGCAAAAATGTTATGGCCAAAAAACCAGGCAGAATGCAGGTTTTGGCACTTGTTGGTAATGCGACGCTAATTTTACGCAACTACTTGAAATTCTTCAAATCCGCAGGATTCATACTTCTGAATAACAACAGCATAATTGGAGTATAATGGTCAAGTAGTTTTTTGGGAATTTATAATTGTTTATCCCAAAACACCTGTTTACCGGACATCACTACTAGTTTATTGAGCTATATATAGGATTAGTACAAAGAGCATTTCACAGCAAAATACACTAATGTACTTTGCCGACATGAATTACAAACTATTCCGAAAGATTAATGTTATTTTTATGCGAAAAACAAAGGTTACGTTTTTTTCTTCAAAGCAAATTGAAACATTTCGTATTTGTGAGTAATTGAGCAAATGCGCTACGATATTCGAAATACGTTACTATACACATTTTAAAACAAAGCGGATGTGTCTATCATCTATTGTTGAGAGTTACTCACAAATACTGCATGTTTGAATTTGTTTAGAAGAAAAACGTAACCCATCCTTTTTTGCATAAAAATAATATTTATCTTCCGGAATAGTTTTCGATTCATATCGGCAAGGTAAACTAGTGTATTTTGCTATCAAATGTCCTTTAAACTAACCCATGTATATTGCTCAAAAAAACTAGTAGTGATGGCCGGAAAACAGATGTCGTGGGATCAACAATTAGAAATTCTCACAAACTACTTAACCAATCTACTCCATCCAATGTTGTTGTGGTTATTTAGAAGTACCAATCCTACGAATTTGAAGAATTTCAAATATCTGCGAGAAACCGTCGTCGCATTACCAACACGTGCCAAGACCTGCAGTTTGCCTCGGTTTTCGGCGATAACTGTTTTAGTCGGATCTTTTTACGTGTGGTCTCATTCTGTAGGTCTCATAAATACTTAAAAATCTTATAAGGAGAGCTTTTTCGTCCCTGCCAATTATTTAGATTGAATCCCAAAGAACACGTTTTCTCATTCTTTGTTGTCGAATAAATAGTTTTCCCACAAAAATTCGTGTACCCATTTTATGCATCCATGTTGAATACCCCCTTGAGCAACTTGCAGTAATAAAACCAGACTTTAGAATTATTTCGCAAACCAGGAGTATTTTCATCAAATATTAGACTAATTGTGCTTCGCTGCAACACCAACCCCGAACAAAATCAGTCAAACTTTATACACTTTTCAAATTACTATTGAGCAACAAACAGAATATAAGTCACTTTTTAAGTACAATCTGTATAGCTAATATATTGCTTAGACTTAGATTTGTCACAAATCACAATACTCGTATATACGTATAAATCGTAAGAATTGTGATGTAAACGTAAGTGATGTCGAAGAGGGACAGCGTTTGGAATACCAAAGGATACCAAAAATCGCAATGCTCAGTTCCTATAGCTATAACTTATAGTTAGTATGCCTCTGTCGCCATGATGTGTCAGAAAGCAACAGAATGGTGTTAGATTACAAAAGCAAGTGTCAGACGTCTAGGGGGGGGGGGGACCCACGTCTAAACCCGCCACTGATTCCAGACTGCTCGATACGACCAATAAATAAAAATCATTTTCGATTAAAATGCACATAAATTATCTGAGATTGACGCTTATCAAGAACATATTGCTTCCTCAGTGGGCGAATGTTAAGAACCTTATTAGACATAAACAAGAAAAACTTTGGGATCGCATGGTATTAGCAGAGCCATCAAATCACGTATGTTTTCCCAAATTATACAGTCTTTCAGAAGAAACGCGCTTTATGGAGGTTTTTCAAGATGCTGAAACTGAGAAAAAAATATCAAATCATTTGCGATGCCTTATGGATGAGTTCAATCGTTACTTCCCCAATTCATTTGATGATGACGTAGAAAGATGACCTGCCAGAAACACTTCACGACTACGCCTTGGACATTAAAAATAGTTTTGCTGCCAAATACGATTTTGAAAAAATGGGCCAATCATTGTTTTGGGTCAAATATTTCTCAATTTACCCCAAAATAGCAGAAAAAGCACTTCAATTGTATTTACCCTTCTCAAGTACATATTTGTGCGAAATGGTATTTTCTGCTGTAGTCGCAATGAAAACCAAGTACAGAAATAAACTTGACATTGGAAGTAATTTGCGTCGTGCCATTTCTATGGTTAAGCCGACAACTGTAAACCTCGTCAAATCCATGCAAGCTCATCCGTCACATTCCAATAAGTAGGTACTACTTATCAAATACCTTTCGTATGTTTTTTGTCTAACTTTAATGAGCAATAGAAATACTCATTTTATTATTAAATACTGTTTTATTCTGACCTGATAATCTGGACTGGATGCACAAACGACGGATGTTTTTGAAATAATAAGGCAGCAGCGGTGGCCGCAGTAGTAGACTCTTCGGTCTCCTGATCAGTCGCCGTGCGCTGTGCGGGTCCGAGTCCCGTCCCAGGAGAAATTTTTCTCTTGGCTATGGATGTTGTGATTGTCCGCAGGTGGTAGACGGTCACTGACTGTCGAACGTGGAGGTACCACCCGGCGGATCTCGTAGGCGGAGCCAGAATGCGTGCATGTTACATGCACACGTGTTCCCTCGCCTTCTGCCCTCTTTGCAATAGAACTGGATATATGCCATCCACTCCTGGGAATTTGAATGGCTTTATTTATAGCCCATTAGACTTTGCCTGGCCTTGTTATCGCCGTCGCCAGTCGCCAGCGGTAGCCCTCTCAGGTTTTTCTCTCTAGCTCTGGACATTGTCTCCCGTGACCGGTATTAACGATGCTCCTGGAAAGTGTGCCTTTGTCAGCAATTCCATACTTTCCGCCACTGATTTTGTCTAGGTAGCACCACTTTTGATGATGAGGCCTACATCCGCCAAAGTATTACCCTCCTTGGCCAGCACCCTGTGGATTCGGGATGCTTCTGGTCCTTCTTCCAGCTCTTCGCAGAACCTCCTCGAATTCCAGGTTGTGCTCTGTTAGTTACGAAGTGCTGCCATAAGAGCAGGTTTACTTCCTATATAGGATATAACAACCTTTTACTATTAATGAATTGCAAGAGTGACTCACCTATTGCAGGCAATGTTGCTGCTTCCCCAGCTGGTGTGGTGCGCATTCGCATCGCATCCCACTATGGCCTTCCTGGAAAGTAGGCGGAAGACCCAATCCATGTCCTGTATCCCTCCTTCGTCGATGTAGTGAGGGTAGCTGTAACAATGTCGCCGGTGCAGAGCATCGGAATCAGTGTGCACTTTACTCTGCTACTGTATACTATGCATGCTTTTGGTTTTTGGCCTTCTGCACAGTATAAAATTTTACCCCCAAAAGGTGTTTATGCCCGACGGCCTTCCCTTGAATAACTAAGGCTGCTGCAAGACGGCCTTCTCTTTCGAATCTCCTACAAAAAATGGCCGAAGCGGCCTTTGCATGATCGAGGTTCGCTACAACGATGAAAGAGGTTATAATGCTTAGCAGCAGCCGGTGTTGCCACATACATACCACAAACCACATTCTCTAAGCTGTGCTAGTATCAACAAAAATCTAATGGTACTTACTCTCTGATTCGTTTACCAGTAGTAATTATTTGTTTTTCGTTTATTACACCTTTACTGGCTCAGTTGTATTACTTCTCACTTGGATTGGACACTGGGAATTGAAAATGTTTAATTGTCGCATCGTACAATTAAAAAAAAAAGGAAATTTGATGTGTTATGTCTTAATCAGCAAACACCTAGCATATTTTTAACTTCCTTAATTAACTTGAACATTAAAAAAATGCATGATAAATAGGATGTACGGATTTTTTGAAGATGAAATTATGTGCATTGTTATGAGAAGAATAATATTTCAGGTGGTTCAAGGCAATTGCAGTGTAGCTGGTAGAGATGGAGATTGTCTTAGCGGCAAAGGATATATTGAAATGACAGGAATAGATCCAGAAACATCCAAGGATATCTGCGAAATAATCAGTAGTAAAGGAGGAAGGTGAGTATTTTTACTTCACACGCCTACTGGCGAGGACGTATAATAATCGCAAAAAATTTCGAAAGTGACACATTGGGCTTTTTGGATGTAATATGGTATGACAGGTACATCACGAAACACCACGACACTCATTTCCGTCAGTCTGCCTGTCCACTAATCCGTGGCCAGTCTATAACTTGGAAATTACCGGCCGGATTTTGATAAAATTTTCACACAAGGTTATTACTATGCCAGTGACGAAAAAGCTTTGCAGTTATTGAAAATCGAACTAGTCGCTCCGTAAAAAAGGCCAAAATTGCAGAATTTCGTTTTTTTTTTCGTTTCAGGATCCTGATGGTTTTTTAAAATCCCCTAGCGGTAAAAAATTGTTCTGTCTAGAATCTCACATGTACCTGAAGATGGTGTTTAAAGTCGCCGAAACGTTGTATTTCTAATAAATGTTGTTGACCGAATCCCAAGACTTTATAACTTGAATTGATATCAGCGGTCCGGAATACAAAACTGCAAATCAGTTCATATCTGATGATTTTTTTGAAGGGGGGAATATAGTATTAGGTTGGCTATCTTCAACTGACTAAACTAAAGAACGTATGTTTGTAACCTTACACAAACAATCGTGTGAGCACATAGGAACACTAGATACAAGGTGTCCAAAAAGAGAATCGGGTATTTGTGTTCGCGTTGCATTTGATAAAGAGCGTCTGAGGGGAGTGGAGAGAGAATCGTGGCGTCCACCATGCATCATGTTGTGGAGTTTGTTACGATGGAACCGTACTCTGGAACCCATCGCGATTTTTGCGTACGAGCGTATTATTGCAACGGTGATTCAGTAGTGGCTGCTCAACGTCTGTATCGTGCGGAATATCGTACAGACCATGAACCAAGTGACGATACAATTAGAAAATTGATCCGGATGTTCGAGAATACAGGAATACAGGTGCAACGGTAAAAATGTCCACACTCTGGTCGCCCTCGTTCAAACCGCGATGAGAAAACGACCGGAAGCCAATCATTGAACATCAAAAAATATTCATTGCATTTGATTTTAAAGAAAGATTTGCATTTAAAAGCCTATAAAATTCGATTTGTTCAAGAATTGAAGGATACGAACTATGCTAATCGATTGAATTTTGCGAACGAAATGCTGCAGCGATTCAACAATTTTGAAAACATACTGTTCAGTGACCAAGCAAACTTTCTCCTGAATGGTCATGTTAATAAGCAGAATTGTCGGTACTGAGCAGAGGAGAATCCAAGGCGAAAGCATGAACGACACCTGCACAGCCCAAAGGTCGTTGTTTGGGCCGCTAAGTCTGCTAGGCATAACCGGTCCTTCTTTTCATGAAGATCGATGAGGCCGACCACTCAATATGAATAGTGACCGTTCTTGCGATATGCTGCGAAACTTTTTGGGCCCAAATTTGCAGGAGTTTCAAGATTTCAACACAAGAACGTGGTTTCAACAAGATGGGGCCACTTGCCATACATCAAATCAAGCATGTTAACGAATTATTTCCTAATAAGGGCATTTCGCGTGGGGGCAACATCAACTGGCCTCCCAGATAACATCAACTGGCCTCCCAGAATCCCCAACCTTAGCCCACTAGACCATTTTGCATGGGTATACCTAAAAGTAAGGTCTATGAGAATAATCCGACAAACCTGGCCCAATTAAAGCAAAAACATCAGGTCAGAAATGGCAGCAATATCGAGAGCTTTTTGTCAGCGTATTATCGCCAATTATCGTCCCCGATTAGAAGAGTGCCAGCAGCGTAACGGTTACCATTTGGATAAAATCATCTTTTACAAATAATTTTCCACTTTATATTCTAATAATCAACAATAAACTTTTTTGTTCAATAATAATAATAATAATAATAATTCATTTCATTGTTGAATTTCATAAAAATAATGGTGACGAGTTAAAAAAAAGTATAAAAACATAAATCTAAACAAAAAGTCCTCCAAGGTGTAGAAACATTTGTCTAGCAAAAAAAGTTTTAGTTTTCTTTTGAAAACAGCTGCATTTGATTCATTCCTAATATCATCATTGAGCTTATTAAAAATCTTACATTCCATATACCTGCATGTTTTTTGGTATGCCGTAGTTCGAGGTCTCGGTGGGATTAAAAGCATCTTAGACCTAGTTGGATATTCATGCTGGTGTTTGATGACTTCAAATTCGTGCTTATATTTGATGTTGATTTCAAGTAGTTTTTGTTTTAGTGTTTTATCGAACTAACAAATACCCTATACTCTTTTTGGACACCTGGTATGTAATGTGAAGGAGTTGCACGTTTAAAATACTGGTAGTTTTACCGTGACCCGCCAAAAACAGTGAAAACTCATGTAGACAATAAAAGGTCAAAATCTACGTGTCAAACGATTACCTTACAATATTTATCAGTAATAAAACAAAATATTATTAACATGCTTGTAATGGATTTGTTTAAAAAATATTCACAAAAAAGGATTTACATTGGACTTAGGAACCAGAAAATGCCTATCTCTGCATATGTGATTGCCATATGCATGGTATCCCGAAGTAGAAATGGAACTGGTTTTCGCACAGAGATTGATATCTTGTGAGTGCGTATTTTCGAGTTAAGTGGAAGACTAAACATTCTTATGAAAATGAAAGCTGAATCTTTCCAGTTTCGGATATCAACTTTACATTGTTGTACCTTTTTACTTCCTACGCTACTGTAATCGAGAAAAATTTCGAAAATGAGATAGGTTTTTTCGATGTTATATCACATGCACATCACGAAAAAATATGTCAATCATTTTCTGCAATCTGTGTGTTTGTCCGTCTGTTTGTCTGATAATCATTGTCCGTTTCTAACTTGGGAAATACCGTTTGGATTTTGATGAAATTTTCACACAAGATACTGCTAGACCAAGGGCGCTTTTGAAAATCAGTCCAGTTGCGGCGAAGCTACAGAGCAAAAAGCAAAAGAATAGAAATCGCTCCATCTTCGTTTATTGACGTTTCAGGCGCTCCTGATTATTTTCAGAAAAAAAATTGTAGGGGCTAAAAATTCCGGATTGGGTGTGGTAGGGGTGGAGGAGGGTACATCTCAATTTTTTGATGTTTTTATATTTATATGCTTCTAACCCCGGTAATTTTACGCACGTTTTATACCGGATGATTCTCCAAGGTGGCTCGCCCCTATAAATTTTTTATTATTGAATATAGAAAAATGAAATCTGGAGGTTGCGTATTATAGATGAATTTACATTTTTTGACATATTCACTTGCTTTGACATACGTCCGGAAACGACTCAAACTTTCAATTTTTAAATGGGACACCCTATATATTTTTAATTATTTCGATCGAGAATGACATTCGGAACTCAACAACGCGTCAGCTGTCAATATTTGACAGATATAGTCTTTTTTATTCCAATTTTTATTTTTAGATCTAGAATGCCATGGATCCTGTAAATTGCTTCATTTTTGATCAGCGAAAAATACTATATCGTTTTTCTGGGTTCTTTTGTGTGTGGATTGAAAACACTCGATTCCACAAGAAGAAATGCACTAATTTATTTAAAACACAACACAACTAACTTTAGCTTAACTTGCTAGAACATTTATGTACACCACTATTTATCTCTGACTACTTATTTACGAATTATTATGTCGCGCCATTCACTCAACTCTGCCTCCCTCTCCCGGCCGTCGCCCTATATATTCCGCTTCGCATGAACTCGTTAGTTCGAGCAAGTTCCGGTGAGCCACATAGCGGCAGTCCAGAATCTTCGAGGTCACTTCGCGTCGATGTCGAAGGAAAGTCCCTGGCGCGGTTCCCGACAGATGTCGCTCGTAGTACCACTCGGTGTCACTCTCGCATCGAATGAGTGTCGCTGGCGAGATTCCCAACAGATGGCGCTGCTAGTACTGTTTATTCTTGTTACACTGCCCCCTCCCTAAAGTCATTCCGTCCCGGAATGACCTTACTGGTGGTGGATGTCGATATCGGCACGACTGCCCTTCCTTGCAATAGGAGTTCTTGAAGAAGTAACAATCCATACTCTTTCCAGGAGGTGGCCGTCTAGGACTGTGACAACATAATAGAAAGCATGCTTCGGATGGTTCTCCAGTCCAGGCTGTCCAGTCCACATTCCAGCTTAGGTATTGCCAGTTTTCTTGGGTCCTCGGCAAGCAACACTTCTCTAAGAGAGCACAAAGCGCTCCAGACATTCTCGTAACTCGGTTTCTGATACGAGGCTTTCTTGGTAACCAGATAGAAGATCTTTCGGTTGGTACCCTCTTCAGTCATCAGGAGTACTTCTCCGACTTCTGGGTTAGACTGACGCAGCTCGTGCATTCTTCCAAACTTCCTGAGAAAGACCTTTGCTATACCCCTCGATATTTGCAAGTCTTGAGCCACACAGTGTGCCAAGGCATACTCTGGTGAAGTGGTAAACAGATCTTGCTGCACTTCACATGTCACGCCATACCGACTTTTATGGCCATTAGCATGGTGGGCCATAAATTGGTCAAACGCCATGTCCGGTTCTGGTTGGATTTTCCACACCGCCGCATCTTCGTTGTTTCCATGATAAGGGGCAAGTCGGTTGAAATTATCAATTTGGGCTTTACCGCGTGGTGCGTTCTGAATCCTGTAGAGAACATCGTTGATGGCCTCCAGAACTTAATATGGCCCGTCCCAGGATGATTGAAATTTAGGCGACAGCCCTTTTCGCCTCTTTGGGTCGTAAAGCTAAACCGTATCACCGTTGTCATACCTCTGGTCTTTGGCATTAACGTCAGAAGCTTCCTTCATCCTGAAGCTGGCACCTTGAATTGAAACACTAAACTGGCTATGGATGGCGTCCATTCTTCTACGGAGATCACTTACGTAGTCTTCTCCAGCAATATCAGTTCCTGGTGGACAGCCAAACTTTAGATCGCATGGGAGACGAAGTTCTCTTCCCATAACTATTCGAGACAAGGTCTCTCCTGTGCTTTGATGAATCGACGATCGGTAAGT